AAATGCAAAACCAGTATAAAAGTTTTCGGCTTTAAACTCAGAATCGCAATATCCAAAACAAAGAAACAACAATGCTTGAGCTAAAGTTACAGCAATGAAATCTTTGAAGAAATGAAATGTACCTGAAAAAATGGGCTGCCCCAAAACTCTAAGATCCAAAAACAGAAACGTTTCTGCGAAGAAGAGCTCTCTCTTTCTCTCAGAAGCAGAGAGAGAGAAGATGAGAGAAACAAAGAGAAAGAGAGATTTTCTCTGATTTCTTTCTTTGTCTTCTTTTTCTCTTTTTTGGAGGGCTGGGGGTGATATTAAAATGGCGTTAGGAACTGTACAAAAGAGAGAAGAGAGAGATTGCTTTTCCGAATTTTCTTTGCTTTCGTCTTTTTCCCGCCGTAAGCTTTCTGTGTCCGTCTCCACCATCGTATGCTGCAAGACTTGATTCTCTTATTAGCTTTTAATCTTTATTCCTCTCTGTTTCATTCTATTTCTCTTAACTTCCTCACTAATAATTTACATAGTATATTTCAAGCAAGCTGTCTTCATTTATTATTAATACCAGTAATTTGTATTGTAGTTTTCAGTTGATTATGTCTCGAAGAGTAGCTTTGGGTATCTAAATCTGGAAACGCTTAAGATGCACTCATGAGGGTTGGTTGAGAAAGAGGGCACATGGCAAAAGAAATCCATTGATTGATTGATGTTTTCACTCAAAGGCACAATAGATTTTGCAAGCACGCTTAAGACAATGATGTTCTAGGAAAATTATTGTACAAAACCCAATGTCATTGTTTGGTCGAAGAGAAAAGAAAAGAAAACAGAAAACCAAGTGGGAAACTCTTGGTCTAAAACCATGTTTAAATTTGCTTTAAGAACAAGGCATTTGATTGGTTCAAGTTGTTTGTTTTCGTTTGGTTGCCTACTTGTGCACCGGTGCAAGTCATAAACCCAAACTAAATCATCTAATGATGGCAATGGTTACTGACATGTGCAAAGCAAAATTAGAATGAAATCCTTTCAGATTTACCGAGATTTACAAAGTCTTAAGGACTATTGATTTATGGTGAGACTGAGAACAAAAGTGAAAGGGAGGGGTCACTCTATTCGAGTAAAGATATGTCATTGTTTGCCACCTTTTAGAGGAGCATGTTGTAACTTTTATCATAAATTTTCGACACATTCACCGCAGGTAATCATTGAAGCTGTGCTGTAATAATTGTTAATGACGACATATGAGAAATTAAACCAGCATTTCTTCTTCTTGGCTAGAAGTAATAGAATGCATAGCTGTCTCGCCACTGACTGGTGAGGATGTTGTACTCAATTTAAACTCTAATTAACCATTTTAGTTTATATACCCATGTGGTGCATCGTTGTTGTGCTCAAAAAAGGAGAGAAAGAGAGATGCACATATAAAAGAGAAAACCCAAAAAAGAGCAATGGTCCATTAAGCAATCAAAAAGCTAAAATAAGCTTGAATGGTTTCATGATAAGGCAAATGTGAAAGATTCCTAGAGAGGGGTTTTTGAAAAAAAAAAAAAAACCTTTATATCTTTTCTTTTTGCTTAATTTTTAATGGAGCTGAGAGTGTTTTCTTTGTACTCCTCATTTGTAATCACATGGGGTTTCATTCGGACCATACAAAATCCGACGGTGGATAATTCCTAACAGAACGTAAGGAACATTCTCCAGGGGAACACCCTTTTCTTTTTTTTTTTTCGATTCAGAGGGAAGGCTCATATGCTAAAAAGAGCAACGAGACAAAAAATCTTTTGTCATGTCGTGTTTTTGGACCACGTAACTCCTGTCCCTTTTTTGGACTGTTTGGAGGTAGTACGCAAGAATGTCGCAGAAAATGCTTCACTTTTATATGTATGATCTAAGCTCGGATCACGTGCTCACTCGTGCCTGGCAATTCGAGACTTTGTCCACAGCTTATA